ATGATAATGACAACTCAAGTTAAATATATGTAGTACTGTATCTTTAGTGAATGTTTTTTTTTTATTTTTAAAATAAATAGAATATATCATTTATGTTTTCATACTGAATAATGATTTATAATTGACGGCATGATGCTTTAGAAAACTAACGCATTAGCAGCCTGTATTAAGTTATTAGCCCTAATTTGTTCAGAGAGGTTATAAGTTAAACCCGCATTTCCAGCCATCGTTGGTTTCCCTTTGAACTTCAACAACGACGACATTTTAGTAATAATCAGTTCATAGTTTAATTACTCACGTAACAACGACATTAAAATCACCATACTAAGGAGAACTTATTCAACGTCAACACCGTATTTCATTCATGCTAGCCTAATGGCCTACCCCAATCCGACACCACCTCCGGGGAATTTTGCCATGGATTCACCTGTTCTTTAGTTTCGTTGAACTTTTCACTGAGTTTTTTTTTTTTTTCATTTTGAAAGCAGACAGCGTCACGGATCGACGTGCAGATACCGTCTGGTAAAGCAATATTTTTCTTTTTTTAACAATTAATATTTATTCAGATGTACAGTAAAATGCCTTCGATGGTCTAGTTAATGTTCTTATTGGCTTTTGCATGTTTTGATGCGTTTAATGTATAAAGTTCATCTGAATGTGCCACCAGAGTGTATATTCAAATTAACATAATAAATTTTAACAAGCTGTTTCATTTCAGTTACCGTATGTTATGCTGTGGTCGACATTGAAATAAATCAAATCTGTCATGTGAATTCAATTATTATTAATAATATTTTTATTATCATTATTATTATTATTATTATTATTATTATCATTAAATTAATCGATGTGTCTTACTTACGCATTTATGAGATTCAATAGAACTAAAACGTGTCTTTATAACTTTGAAATGTGCATAATTGGAAGTCATAACACCGAATAAGAAGTAAAAAAATATAATTTGTATTATTCTTCAAAAGAAAATTCATTTGTTCTTCATGTCTACACCCCAACCCCCTTCGCAACACACACATACGCACATATATCATTAAGTTTTCTCAGTATGTTTTGTTTTATAAATTTTCTTCTGTTCCCTTGTTCATATTCTTTTATCATATGGCGATTAAATATTGTCCTTGCTGAAGACTTTCAAATTCTAATGCCGATAACCTTCAAAAAGTTCGGGCTTATTAGGTAAGGGTTGAGGGTAGATTTTTGATTAAAACATGGGTTGTGTTGTTTTTGGTAGATATTGTTCTCTTTGTCCGACTTGCATAATGGTTTGCATAGCATTCCATTTCCGGTGACTATACTGCGTATACATAAAGCTATGTCCACACCATTATTTTTGTTTTCTGACAAATGTGTGTGATGTGCCCGTACATATGGTCATGAAGATGCCATATTACACCCAATGTGGGCATATCACATTTTTGTCGCAAAAAAAAAATGATAATGTAAACAGAGCTTTATAATAAAAAAAAAAGTATAATAGTTACGCCTATAATATAATATAACAGTTAAATTATAAAAAACACTTTGGACAAAAGTTTTACGGTTCTGGTTAACTAAGAGGCCATATTGTAAGCCATACGATTGCTGTAATTTTAAATGTCAACATAGTGCTTTATAGCCAATGCTCAATGTAATTTAAAAATTGCATGAGGATAAGCAACATAATTATATTTGTTTGTATACGTTGTGCTTAACAGGAGACATTAACATAATTATCTTTTAACTATTTTTTTATATCAAAAATAAACAATTGATAATCTCTTTTGTTTCCTCTTCTTGTAACTTGTTACCGCTTTGCTTCAATTTTCATCTACAAACTTGAGTCATCTTATCAAATACAATTACTTTTAACTTAACAAAAATGGAACTTATATTGGAAATAAAAAAGTAGTGAAATCTGAAAGAAAAAAATGAAGATTTATGTAATTTGGATGTTCTCTTTCCATGAACTTAATAACTAATATTTATTAGATTCATGCATGGCGACTCTGGTTAATATAAAAGATTAGTTCTCTTTTAACCAAACACCAAGATGGACAAAATGTCTTGTTTCTATCAAATATTAAACTACAATTTTCCTAACAATTTCTTTCCAACAAACTGTTTACATTAAACATTAAACTGTTACAACACTGGCACAATGACAATAAAGAGAGGTATGAGCAGAGAAATCTATGACATGTTGGGCATTGTGGATGCAAGCTATACTGTAAATAAAGACACGTTGACTATCAGATATCACCCACAAATAGTTCCAATAGAAATACTGTACATATGATAAAGTGTATTTATTAACTGTAATGACAGTAACAGCATAAGTCTAAAGGGTTCTCAAAATCGTGTTTCAGGCTCAGATGTCTTACAACCAGCCTTGGATCTGCTGACTGTAACCCTTCATTTAACTTAGAGCACTCCATAGGAATTAATTGAAAAGGGTTTTCTTGGATCTTTCAGATTACTGTTTATTTCATGTCTTTCGATTTTGTAGACGTTTTAACTAACCCTACCAGGTCCTCTATTGCTGGTGGTATTATCTATAATAACGTATGAACATGCAATCTTCAGGTACTGTTCTAATCAATTATGATGGGCGTAGCTAGTAGCCTTTGTAAATGTAAGTCTGTTTTCCATTGAACAGAATTGTCTACTACACTACTCTTCTTCTTCTTCTTCTTCCAATTTTAATGCCAACTTCATAGCTGAAGGCCTCGGCCCGAGCCTCTGCAGCAGACGGAGTCTCACTGGATGCGAGGAGGCATTCAATAAATAAATAAAAATAGACCTAACATATAAATAAAGTATACAGGTGCCTGTAACCCAAGGCGGAGCCCTTCCTGGTGCTAACCCTTTTGGGCCGGAGAAACCAGGAGCTATGACTTGGGCAGGGACGCTCAACTCCCTGGGATGTCAATAGTCTAAGACTAGAGAGCATAATTACCAGATACCCTGTAGACACCATTCTCACGAAAAGAAAAGGAAATGGAAATAAAACATGTATGTATGGAGGCAAAGCAGATCCAGCCGCTCCTTGAATGAAGTGAATGTATCAGTCTTTATTATACCTACATGCTCAGGAAATGTGTTCCATACAGCAGCAGTACGTGGAAAAAACGAGTACTTGTAGTAGTCTCTCCTGGTGTTAGGAATATGGTAGGACAGACCGTTTGTTTTTCTTAAATTTCTGGAGACTCCTTAGTTTCAAAGTCATGTCGAAGTGCACTAGAGTCTGACTTGTTCTCGTTTTCCCCAGCCTAGATTTTTGGAGCATGAGATCAACACTGGCTTCTTGTTGGTAATTACGGAGAACAAATCTTGTAGCCCGTCTTTGTACCATTTCAATTTTTTCTGGTAGCTTTGATTGTGTGGGGATCCCATACAGCTTGGCCAAATTCAATGTGAGGTCTGACAGGAGACTTATAAGCAGTTTCTTTCAGCCGAGTATTATTGACATTGAGGGTTCTTCGTTTGAAGTTGAGAGTTTGGTCTGCCTTGGATGTAATGTTGCCTATATGTTTGTTCCAAGGTTGTCATAAGAAATTGTGACTCCAAGATATTTGATGTGCTTGACTTGCTGAATAATACAGTTTAGAAGGTTGTATTAGGTCGGAATTCTAGGGCATGCATTCATCTTTAATTGGCTTTTAAACACAAGCATTTTAACCAAGTTACAGAACTCCTCTTGTTGATAAACTACAGGTGTTTTTCCAATTTTTTGCAATAAAAAGTCTGCCCTTTTCCTACGGAAGAAATGTATGACAAGAAATGGGAGCTTATGTACTACTCTTTTTGTGCCTTTAAGCAAAAGTACCTAAATGTGCTACGTCAAACTGTTGTTTTTTTTTTCAAACCATATTTAAAGGGGGTGATACTCCTGGGATATCCTAGATGGTCAGTTGATATTCATGGGCCATCTTAAGTTAATGAAATAATATAATATTTTGTCAGCGAAGTCTCATTGGGATTGGAAGGCTCCCAAGCTACATCTCCACTACGATTATTAATTTTTCCTGTAACATAACTAAAAGGATTTACATTTGTTTTGACATTTTTGTTGGTTTTACTTTATTTTTTTTTCTTTTCTTTATGCTGTACGTTTAGATAATTTGTTTAAAGGTTCAGAGTAATTGTATTTTAACATTGACATCATAAGTATAAAAGAAATAAATACAACATCTTAGTTCAAGATGAGCTTTTTCATTTTTTTTCTCTAATTCAGTTGCATAGTTCGAAGTCAAAATAATGAGGTTAGACGTACACATCGTATTGCTGCTTTCAGTGGTACAGCTCGTCTCTTCAAGCTGCTGGTTTTCACATGGTAAGTACCGTTTATGAATAATTTAGTGTTATATATTAAACACAATGAATTTTTATACAGTATTTTGGGTTCAATATATACACAATTCAATTTTTTCCTTCCATAAACATGACAATTAAATTAATATTACATTTAAAATTTTGCTTTCTCTGTTGATTTTTTTTTCGCAACAGGACCTTGTATTGATGGAAACAAAGAATACAATGTTGGTGATAGGTGGCGATTGAAATATGATGATCATTGCGAAGATTGTTCATGTGTTAAAAGCGGGTTTGCCTGCTGTTCAATGTAAGTTTGCCATAGTTTCACATTATTCAAATGCATTGCAATGATCAGACGGTAACGTTATTACAACTTCCTTTTGCCTAAATGCGTCTCAGTATAGACCTTCTGTACACTCAATTAGAATTTAGACAACATTCTAAAGCTCTCGATATATCTTTTTTTTTTGTTTACGAAATGAAGTCCTTACCCTGTGGATATACCAAAGTCCTGTGCGGCCATCTTTGATGACAAGAAGTGTAAATACCACGTGGTGAGACGAGATAAGCCATGTATTCCATGTTCAAGACCTGTGTCGTATGTTGGGAAATAATCCATGTATTTATTAAATATTAAACAAGATCTGTACAATGTGTGTAAAACGTCTGAACCTGAACTTCTCTACGCCGATTAAAAAAGTAAACATGGAATGGCTCCGTCTTATTATAAAGCGTTATATATACAACAATATGTTGCTAAACTAATAATGGGCCTCAGTGCCTGCCTTAACGAGGTTGATTTATTGATTTCATAATATATTGCCAATATCAGGATATAAAGTCAAGAATAAATATTGATCTACAACTCTGCTTGCATTAGTCTGTCTTTATCATGTTTTTCTAAATAAATCTAATTAAGATGTAAATGCTATGTCTCTCTGGTCAAATCCATACAAACTGTTACCTTAACAT